TAAGAGATATTCTTCCGATCACAAAAAAAAATTTCAACATTTGCTATTTATGGTGCTTATTCACGAACACACAATAACAAATAAATAAATATTATAACATTATTGTTGCGAAAATCGGAAGTGCTGTTCTTGATTTGATGGGCGAAAAAAGTTGGAAGTGCCGGGATCTGTTACCGGAACTTCTAATTGCACTGCACACTCCACCTCCACTAAACCACAGGCCACAGTTGCTTATGTTAAAACTCATCATATTTTGCACATTTTGAGTTAAACTTTTTTGGCAAAAATTGTAGATGACGTCATGAATTTTTTCGGGGGAATAAACAGATATATTTTCATTAACAATTTACCATGCTCACAATCAATTTTAACCATCTGCAAGATTTCAAAATATTCAGTTTAGCAATTCTTGATTTATTCACTAAAATAAAGTGACTGATTCATTTCTTTTTTTGAGTCACCCTGTATAAGCAAGTTAAAAAATTTGAATGCAATGATTAGTTACAAGTGTAGTCAGATCATATACTTTATTCAGTAAAATTGTGAGAAGACGTAATGAATTTTTTTTGGGGTTGATAAAGAGATACATTTTGATTAAACAGTTACCATGCTTACAATAACTTCAAAACGTCAAGATTTCTAAGTATTCAGTTTTGCAAAATCAATTCACTCCGTCATTAATTTTTTTCAGACACCCTGTATAAGCAAATATTAAAAATTTTAAAAGTATAGTCAGATCATATACTTTATTCAGCAAAATTGTGAGAAGACGTAATGAATTTTTTTTGGGGTTGATAAAGAGATACATTTTGATTAAACAGTTACCACGCTTACAATAACTTCAAAACGTCAAGATTTCTAAGTATTCAGTTTTGCAAAATCAATTCACTCCGTCATTAATTTTTTTCAGACACCCTGTATAAGCAAATATTAAAAATTTTAATGCAGTGATAAATCACAAGTATGGACTCATCATACTTTACACATTGAAGATGGCATTTTTTCAGCAAAATTTTGGGGTGACGTCATACATTTTTTAGGGGGGACGACCAAATACATTTTGATCAAAAATTTACCATGCTTATGATAATTTTAAAATATCTTCAAGATTTCGAAGCATTCGGTTTTGTAGTTCCTGAGTAAATCAGTAAAATAAATTTACGCTTTCATTTATTTTCTTGAATCACCCTGTATATGCAAATCCAAAAAATATGAATGGAGTGATAGATCACAAGTACAGACTGATCATATTTTGTGCATTTTAGATATGATTTATTCGGCAAATTTTCGAGCTGACGTCATCAAGTTTTTGGAGGGGATAAGCAAATATATTTTGACTAAACATTTATTATGCTCTTTATAACCTTAAAACATCTGCAAGATGTCAGAGCATTCCGTTTTGTAGTTCCTGATTAAATCAATAAAATATATTTACGCATTCATTAATTTTTTTGAGTCACTCTGTATATGCAAATCCAAAAAATATGAATGGAGTGATAAATGACAAGTACAGGCTCATCATATTTTTACATTTTAGATATGATTTAATCGGCAAACTTTCGAGCTGACGTCATCAAGTTTTTGGAGGGGATAAGCAAATATATTTTGACTAAACATTTATTATGCTCTTTATAACCTTAAAACATCTGCAAGATGTCAGAGCATTCCGTTTTGTAGTTCCTGATTAAATCAATAAAATATATTTGCGCATTCATTAATTTTTTTGAGTCACTCTGTATATGCAAATCCAAAAAATATGAATGGAGTGATAAATGACAAGTACAGGCTCATCATATTTTGTACATTTTAGATATGATTTATTCGACAAACTTTCGAGCTGACGTCATCAAGTTTTTGGAGGGGATAAGCAAATATATTTTGACTAAACATTTATTATGCTCTTTATGACCTTAAAACATCTGCAAGATTTCAGAGCATTCGGTTTTGTAGTTCCTGATTAAATCAATAAAATATATTTACGCATTCATTAATTTTTTTGAGTCACCCTGTATATGCAAATCCAAAAAATATGAATGGAGTGATAGATCACAAGTACAGACTCATCATATTTTGTACATTTTAGATATGATTTATTCCACAAACTTTTGAGCTGACGTCATCAAGTTTTTGGAGGGGATAAGCAAATATTTTTTGACTAAAGATTTATGATGCTCTTTATAGCCTTAAAACATCTGCAACATTTCAAAGCATTCTGGTTAGCAGATTAAAAATTAAATTTCAAAATGTTGTTTTATAATTTTGATTTTTTTTCCAAAAATCTGGACGTTTCGGGTGAAAAGTCGATTCAGAGTTGTAAACTACATGTGTAGGACTATGTTATTTTATACAATTGAAAACCCATTTACTATGTACCATTTTGAAGTGACGTCATCGCTTTAGTGGTGGGGATGATTAGACAAATTTTGGTTAGCGTACTACATGATATTCTTAATATAAGTACAAAATTTCACAACAATCGGTCGAGTACTTTCGGAGATTATCTTTCTAATAAAAATCCGGGACAACAGACGGACAGACGGACAGACGGACGGACAGACGGACAGACGGACAGACGGACAGACGGACGGACAGACGGACAGACGGACAGACGGACAGACAGACGGAAATGGGAGACCTATTTCTTCGTCTTCTAGGGGTCATGAAAGATCGAGAAAACGTAAAAGTAGAGAGTCGGCCGACGGACTCGATTACAATACTTCCTTTGCTTACGCTCGGGAAGTAAAAATTGATGACGTCACCCTTAAATTTTGCTGAATAAATCCTATCTAAAATGCAAAAAATATGATGAGTTTGTACTTGTGATTTATCATTCCATTCATATTTTTTAGATTTTCTTAAGAGGTGTGGTTCAAAAAAATTAATGAAGTCCATTTATTTTATTGATTAAATTAAAGGCAACACTTATTATTAGTATTACACCCCAACCAACCCAATTTGGTAGACACAAAATTTGTTAAAGGAAAAACTCGGTTGAAACATAAGGGTAGCATGCTTATTTACATCGACTTTAACATTACAGACCTGCATTTGTTTTATGCGTTCACTTGGTTCCGCGAATGCGAAATAGACATGTTTATAATCAACCAATTGTGAATTTCACCGTCAAGAATTAAAATAAAACGCAATGTTTTATATAATAAGCGGAAGTCGAAGCAATAAAACCGATGGTCGTTTTGTTTACAGTTTCTCTGTTTGGCTCTCACGTATGCTGTTACGCTTGTCATCTTAAATTAAGAATGTTTATACATAAACGATTTTCAGTTGCCCTTCATATTACTAGACAGCGGATTTTTGTCGGGCTACGTCACGATTATAGGTGGGGACGCGCTGGATCGCCGGGACTCAGTAGCGGGTGATAGATAATCACTGAATTTAATCAGTACTAATTCCATAAATATAATTAACGATTTATTAATCAAACGGCTAAGTAAATGAGAACGGGAATTAACAGCAGAGTGCAACGAAACAGCGTTATTCTAATCTCAAATAAACGAAGTGCAGTCCGCAACCGCAATGAATTCGTATCCCGTACGAGCCGTACCGAGTTTGACCTTGCCTAGCCCGACAGAAATCCGCTCTCTAGATATTACACACCGGCGCCGTATACGTGAGTAAATTGTTTCGTTATTTTATTGATTATAACAAATCAATATTCAAAACGACCCAATTCATTTTCCCGAAAATTTGGGAATACAATAATTTTATTCTTAGTATTACACTACATCTATCCCAACTGATATACGTGTCCTTGCAAAAATGTTGATGACGTCATCACAGCGAGGGAAGTACTGTCTAAACTCTTTAGACCAATTTTTTATTTTGGCCTCTCACTTTCTCCGTGTTTCCATTTTTGCATTTTTTCGTTTTTTTAATTTTCCGCTTTTAGATTTTTCGATTTTGGCGTATTTCGATTTCTCAATTTTTCGATTTTTTGACTTCACAATTTCGTTTTCCCGATCTTTTTTCATTTTTTAATTTTGAAGTTTTCGACTTCTCGATTTCTCGATATTTTGAATTTTCGATATCTCCGTGTTTCGATTTTCCAGTTTTTCAATGTTTCGATTTTCAATTATCTGATTTTTGAATTTTTTGATTTATTAAATTTAGGAGATTTGAGTTCTCGATTTTTCGTTTTTCGGTTTTTAAATTTTAGATTTTTGAATATTTTATTTTTTCTATTTTTTGTGTTTTGATTTTTAGATTTTCAGTTCTTTAACATTTCTATTTTTCAGTTTTTCAAATTTTACATTTTTCGTTTTCAATTGTTCTGTCTGTCGTCCCGGATTTTTATTAGACAGATAATCTCCGAAAGTACTGAGCCGATTGTTGTCAAATTTTGTATTTATATTAGGTATATCATGTAGATGGTAAAACGCTAACCAAAATTTGTCTAATAAATTTCGATAAACTCATTCAAATCAAACAAATGTCTACGTGACATTCTTCCGATGTACTGTATTCCTATTGATACGATAGGACCACGACAAGAGTTTCATATCTGATAAACTAACAAAAGTTAAATTTAAAAATTTCCACAGAATATTTATAAAAAAAACGACTCCCCACAACAGATGAAAATCAATTATCTGGAAAATTCTGTAGAAAACCCCGCTTTCACACAGATTACTTCAACTGCATTGTTGGAAACGGAAAATTTGTGATTCCTCCTCTAGAGTGACAAAGTCGACCTTCGGACAACGTTTGCTGCCCGTGAAGATACGTTTACAAACAATACAAGAGTTTGTTGTTAACCTTGATCCAAAAATTAGAGTAAAATTATTTTTAGAGAAATAAAAGGTCGTGTGAAACTATTAAACAATAATGAATGAGGAACCAAAACAAGCGGTTTTGGTCAATAATAATTACATAGGAAGTGTTCGTCTGCAACCAGTTCACTTTCCGAAATGCAGGTAAGCGAAAAACAAAAATTTCTTCTGTTCATTTTTAGTTTTAGTAAAACTCCATGTTCCATTCATTTTGAAGAAACCCAACCAAGGCCACACTGTAAAAAATGCGGCTGCACTTCATTGAAAAACTACACAGCCTCCACTTCCGTGTCGGTTTTACCCAACGAATTTTTTGGACATTTCCTAATTATAATTCAGATACATTAGCTTTACGTACAAAAAACGGTAAAAGTGAAGAAAACCTTGATCTGAAACCTATTTCAAAATTGATTATTGCTCATTTCGTTGCAAGCGAGTGCGTGGAGTGCGTAAAAAACCACCGAGTGTTTAAAAAAGCCACAACAAATTTTGAAAATGGAAAAAAAGTTCGTCACTAGAAATTCGCTACTCACCGACGTCTTCGAACACCCTCGTACTCGCAATCTTTACAATGTTTACGTTCTCGCCTTCACGTGCTTTACTTTCTACACAGCAGCAAAAGAGTTCATCACGACTGGAAGGTAAAAAATGAGGGAAAATAACAGTGAAGAATTAGGTGAATTTTAGGGTAACGTTGGGGCTTGGGACCATAAGGACAGGCTTCGCCCATTTCGATAAAGCTATCTTCGTGTGGTTGTGCTACTTCGGATCAACGTGTGCAGTGTTTTACCTGTTCAAAATTTGGTCAAATCTTCGAGAGTTTGTTAAAGGTTGCTAAGTGGAGCTTGACTAAGCATATGTCAAAATTAATAACTATCTTTCAGAAGTGGCCACAATCTTCGACTGGTTTGGAGCAACAAGCTTAATTTTTTACTACTTTTACAGCTTCAAATTAGTCACTTTCGCTGTATACTATTTCGAATTCAACCCTCCTTGTACAGTTTTCACAACTCTTGAACTCGTAAGTACCACCAATGTACGTAAAATTTAACTAAAATAACACCTTCCAGATTCGACATTTAATGAAAGTGCACTCGTTCGTGCGCACCAAAGCCTCACAAACCTCCCCTAACCTCAACTTTTCCAACTATCTATACTACCTCTTCGCCCCTACCCTCATCTACAGAGACGCCTACCCTCGAACGAACTCCATCAACTGGAACTTCTTCATTCAGTGTCTTCTCGAATCCATTAGTGTCCTTTTCATATTCACGTTCTGCGTGATACACAGTCTCCCATCTCCTGAAAGATGGCTCCAAAAATTTACCATAAGCGAGGTATTGCTCGAAATTGTCGAAAAAATGGTCTATGGAACGTTCGCTTTAACGGGCATATTTTTCCTTATCTTCCATTCGGTACAAAATCTGTTTGCTGAGATATTACGATTTGGAGACCGTCTGTTCTACTTAGATTGGTGGAATGAACACAGTTATCATGGTTGGTTGTCGAAATGGAACAAGATCGTACAAGATTGGTTGTACTATTACGTTTACCGGGATTTTAAGGTGTACGTCTGTAACAATAGTTTTTTACCTCGATTTGTGGTGTTTTTGGTATCCTTTGGTGTGCACGAGTGGGTCATGTGTTGCTGGACTGGCGGTTTTTTTCCTTTTATGTTTCTACTGTTTGTAACCGTGGTGTTTCCGTTATCGTACTACAACCCCCCTAAAAATATCATTTTTAATGTTTTTCTTTGGTTTTCTGGTATTTTATTGCTAGTCACAGGTCTTGTGTTTTATACTCTTGAATGGTACGCCCGTACAAAAAGTCCTTTGAAAGATCCAACTCTTTGGGACTTTCTTGTTCCTAGGTTTGTAACATGTGACTGCGTATTAAGAAGCTAGATGAATTTAAACCAGGAAGTGGCTACAGGCTATAGGACTTAAACCCCAACTAAAATCTGTGTAAAGATTTATTACGACGACAAGAATTAACACTGAAAGGACAACATTCAAGAACATACAACGTGGTACTTAAAAAATATATTCTGTAACATACGAGTGTTATAACGAACAAATAAATAATAGAACATGAACAGCACAAATTTCTTAAAAACTTAACAATATAGTGTCAAAGAAATAACGTAAAACGTTTTTCGGTTCTTTAGTTCTTTTTTTCAAATTTTCTATCTGCAAATTTTGCTTTGGCTTTTATTTTCTCTATTTTAGCAATTTTTCGATTTTTCAAAGTTCCGATTTTTTAATTTTTCGTTTTTTCAATTTTACGAAATATAAATTTACTAGTTTTCGTTTTGAAATTTTTTAGTTTTTCGATTTTCCAACTTTTGGATGATTCAATTTTTATTTTTTGCAATTTTTCAATTTGAAATTTTGAGTTTTCGATTTTTCAATTTGAAATTTTGAGTTTTCGATTTTTCAATTTGAAATTTTGAGTTTTCGATTTTTCATATCTTCAATTTTTCAATATTTCAGTGTTCAGATTTTTTCCATTTCTCAACTACATATTTACTGGATTACTTTAAATTTTCGATATTAAGTTTTGCGTTTCCCTCTTTATTTTCTATTTTTTCAGTTTCTCGATTTTTCAATGATTTTTAATCAACTTTTATTTTTTTTATTTTTTCAATTTTACAAAAATGTATTTCTTCGAATTCTCATTTTTAAATTTTTCGATTTTCGAATTTTTAATTTTCCAATTTTTTGGTTTTTCAATTTTCTGATTTAATATTCCCTGTTTTTTTCAATGTGAAATTTTTCCATTTTTATTTTTTCAGCATTAGATTTGATTTTTTTTTTAGTTTTTGTTTTACAAATTTTTTAAGTTTTCAATACTGTAATTTTTCATTTCAATTTTCCATCTTTCAATTATTGTATTTTAAAACTTTCTCGTTTTTTCGATTTTTAATTTTTCAATTTCCCGACAATTAATTTTTGAATTTTTACTTCCCGAGCGTAAGCAAAGGAAGTATTGTAATCGAGTCCGTCGGCCGACTCTCTACTTTTACGTTTTCTCGATCTTTCATGACCCCTAGAAGACGAAGAAATAGGTCTCCCATTTCCGTCTGTCTGTCCGTCTGTCCGTCCGTCTGTCCGTCTGTCCGTCTGTCCGTCTGTTGTCCCGGATTTTTATTAGACAGATAATCTCCGAAAGTACTCGACCGATTGTTGTGAAATTTTGTACTTATATTAAGAATATCATGTAGATGGTAAAACGCTAACCAAAATTTGTCTAATCATCCCCACCACTAATGCGATGACGTCACTTCAAAATTGTACATAGTAAATGGGTTTTCAATTGTATAAAATAACATAGTCCTACACATGTAGTTTACAACTCCGAATCGACTTTTCACCCGAAACGTCCAGATTTTTGGAAAAAAAATCAACATTATAAAACAACATTTTGAAATTTAATTTTTAATCTGCTAACCAGAATGCTTTGAAATGTTGCAGATGTTTTAAGGCTATAAAGAGCATCATAAATCTTTAATCAAAAAATATTTGCTTACCCCCTCCAAAAACTTGATGACGTCAGCTCAAAAGTTTGTGGAATAAATCATATCTAAAATGTACAAAATATGATGAGTCTGTACTTGTGATCTATCACCCACTTCATATTTTTTGGATTTCCATATACAGGGTGACTCAAAAAAATTAATGAATGCGTAAATATATTTTATTGATTTAATCAGGAACTACAAAACCGAATGCTCTGAAATCTTGCAGATGTTTTAAGGTCATAAAGAGCATAATAAATGTTTAGTCAAAATATATTTGCTTATCCCCTCCAAAAACTTGATGACGTCAGCTCGAAAGTTTGCCGAATAAATCATATCTAAAATGTACAAAATATGATCAGTCTGTACTTATGATCTATCACTCCATTCATATTTTTTGGATTTGCATATACAGGGTGATTCAAGAAAATAAATGAAAGCGTAAATTTATTTTACTGATTTACTCAGGAACTACAAAACCGAATGCTTCGAAATCTTGAAGATATTTTAAAATTATCATAAGCATGGTAAATTTTTGATCAAAATGTATTTGGTCGTCCCCCCTAAAAAATTTATGACGTCACCACAAAATTTTGCTGAATAAATCCTATCTAAAATGTACAAAATATATTGAGTCTCTTCTTGTGATTTATCATTCCATTCAAATTTTTTCGATTTGCATATACAGGGTGACTCAAAAAAATTAATGAATGCGTGAATTAATTTTATTGATTTAATCAGGAACTACAAAACCGAATGCTTTGAAATCTTGCAGATGTTTTAAGGTTATAAAGAGCATAATAAATTTTTAGTCAAAATATATTTGGTTATCTTCTACAAAAAACTGATGACGTCAGCTCAAAAGTTTGCCGAATAAATCGTATCTAAAATGTACAAAATATGATGAGTCTGTACTTGTGATTTATCATTCCATTCATATTTTTGGATTTGCATATGCAGGGTGACTCAAAAAAATTAATGAAGGCGTGAATTTATTTTATCGATTTAATCAGGAATTACAAAACCGAATGCTTTGAAATCTTGGGAATATTTTAAAGTTATTATAAGCATGGTAAACTTTTGTTCAAAATGTATTTGTTCATCCCTCCTAAAAAAATTGATGACGTCACCCTTAAATTTTGCTGAATAAATCCTATCTAAAATGCAAAAAATATGATGAGTTTGTACTTGTGATTTATCATTCCATTCATATTTTTTAGATTTTCTTAAGAGGTGGTTCAAAAAAATTAATGAAGTCAATTTATTTTATTGATTAAATTAAAGGCAACACTTATTATTAGTATTACACCCCAACCAACCCAATTTGGTAGACACAAAATTTGTTAAAGGAAAAACTCGGTTGAAACATAAGGGTAGCATCGCTTATTTACATCGACTTTAATATTACAGACCTGCATTTGTTTTATGCGATCACTTGGTTCCGCGAATGTGAAATAGACATGTTTATAATCAACCAATTGTGAATTTCACCGTCAAGAATTAAAATAAAACCCAATGTTTTATATAATAAGCGGAAGTCGAAGCAATAAAACCGATGGTCGTTTTGTTTACAGTTTCTCTGTTTGACTTTCACGTATGCTGTTACGCTTGTCATCTTAAATTAAGAATGTTTATACATAAACGATTTTCAGTTGCCGTATACGCGAGTAAATTGTTTCGTTATTTTATTGATTATAAAAAATCAATATTCAAAACGACCCAATTCATTTTCCCGAAAATTTGGGAATACAATAATTTTATTCTTAGTATTACACTACATCTATCCCAACTGATATACGTGTCCTTGCAAAAATGTTGATGACGTCATCGCAATTTTTTTTAAATTCCCACTACAAAAATGTAATGAGAAAAAAACACAATAGCCATGCAGTCGTCAAGTTTCCGACAGCGAGGGAAGTACTGTCTAAACTCTTTAAACCAATTTTTTGACTTTTCAATATGACTACAATTTTTGAATTTTCTAATTTTTCTCTTTCGCGGTTTTTCTTCTTTCCAATTATTCGACTCATTAATTTGTTTCAATTTTTCGTTTCTTCTGATCTTCTTCATTATTTGTTCTTCCATTTTAATTTTTCGGTTCTTCGATTCTTCAATTTTTCATTTCTTTAAATTTTCGATTTGCAATTTTAAGTTTCAATTTTTTATTTTCTCTATTTTTACAATTTTTCGATGTTCCGATTTCATATTTTTTTAATTTTTTTAATTTCAATTCTTATTATTTTTTTTTGTTTTTTCAATTTTACAAAAAATGTATTACTTCCAGTTCTTATTTTTAAATTTTTCGAATTTCCAACTTCTGGATGTTTCAGTTTTTTGATTTGCAAATTTACGAGTTTTCAATTTTTTATTTTTCAATTTCTCGGTTTTTCAATTGTGTCATTTAATAATCCATTTTTCAATGTGAAATATGTCCATTTGTGGATTTTCCAGTTTTTGATCTGCTTCTTTTTGAGTTGTCTACCTAATAATAAAAATTTTACAAATTTTTCAATTTTTCGATTCTTCAATTTTTTGGATATTCAATTTTCTGATTTAATTATCCTTGTACTCAATGTGAAATTTTTCCATTTTTGGTTTTTTCCTATTTGATTTGCAATTTTTTTTAGTTTTCGTTTTTAATATCTAATAATAATAATTTCACAAATTTTTCAATTTCTCCATTCTTTAATTTTTATTTTTTTTTATTTTTAATCGATTTTTTATTTTCTCTATTTTTTCATAATTTTTTGTTTTTAAATTTCTTAATTTTTCGATTTTCCAACTTTTAGACGTTTAGTTCTGTATTCTTAATTTTTAAATTTTTCGATTTTTTTCTCTTTTTTTCTTTATTTATTTAATTTTACGGCTTTTCAATCTTCTGATTTTGTATTTTTTTTTTTAATATGAAATTTTTCAATTCTTGAAATTTTAAATTTTTTGATTTGAAATTTTTCGGATTTTCATTTTTTTAATAATTCAACGTTTAGATTTTTTAATTTTTCATTTTTTAAATTTTAGGTTTTTCAGTTCCTCGATTTTTCAATTTTTCGTTTCTTTAATTTTTGATTTGCAGTTTTTTAGGTTTCATTTTAAATATGTAATAATAATTTTTAAAATTTTTAATTTTTTCAATTTTACGATATTAGAATTTTTTGATTTTCCAATTTTTTGCTTTCGCGGTTTTTTTTCTTTCTAATTTATCGATTCATTAATTTTTTCAAGTTTCAGTTTCTCATTGTTTCAATTTTTCATTTCTTCAGATCTTCGATTTGCAATTTTCCAATCTTCACTATTGAATTTTGCATTTTTTGTTTTTCAATTTTTAATTTTTCAATTTTTCGATTCATCAGTTTTTCACTTCTTTAAATTTTCGATTTGCAGTTTTAAGTTTCAGTTTTTATTTTCTGTTTTTACAGTTTTTCGATTTTATAATTTTAAATTTTTTTAATTTCAATTTTCATTTTTTTTCGTTTTTACAATTTTACGAAAAATGTACTTCTTCCAGTTCTCATTTTAAAATTTTTCGATTTTCCAACTTCTCGATGTTTTAGTTTTTTAATTTGAGTTTTTATTTTTCAATTTTTCGGTTTTTCAATTTTGTCATCTAATAATCCTTTCGTCAATGTGAAATTTTTCAATTTTTGGATTTTTCAGTTTTTGATCTGCTTTTTTTAGTTGTGGTTTTTAATATCTAATAATAAAAATTTTACAAATTTTTCAATTTCATGATTCTTCAATTTTAATTTTTTTTTAATTTTTGATTTGCAATTTTTCGTTTCTGTTTTTTATTTTCTCTATTTTTATAATTTTGGGATTTTTCAATTTTCCGGTTTTATAATTTTTTGTTTTTTCAATTCCAATTTTTCGTTTCTCCAATTTTTTCAATTTTTGCAATTTTTCTAACTTTCATTTTAATATGATGCTTTGTAAAACTTTTAACTTTTTCAATTTTTCTGCTTTAGAATTTCGACGATTCTATAATTTTTTGATTTTGCAATTTTTGGGTTTTCCAAATTTTCGCTTTCGCGGTTTTTCTTCTTTCTAATTTTTCGATTAATTAATTTTTTCCATTTTTCGTTTCTTCAGATCTTCGATTTGAAATTTACATATTTTCACTATTTCGATTTTGCAATTTTCCGATTTTCCAACTTTTTTTTTTAATTTTCCAGTTTTTCGATTCTTCAATTTTTCATTTCTTTAAATTTTCGATTGCAATTTTACGTTTCCGTCTTTATTTCTCTATTTTTACAATTTTTCGATTTTTCAATGTTGCGATTTTATAATTTTTTACAAAAAATTTATTTATTTCTTCCAGTTTTCATTTTTAAATTTTTCAATTTTTCAATTCCTGGATGTTTAATTTTTTTGATTTGCAATTTTACGAGTTTTCAATTTTTTATTTTTCAATTTTGTCTAATAATAATAATCCTTTCAATGTAAAATTTGTCTATTTTTGGATTTTCCAATTTTTTATCCGCTTTTTTTTGAGTTGTCGTTTTTAATACCTGATAATAAAAATTTTACAAATTTTTCAATTTTTCGATTCTTCAATTTTTTGGTTTTTCAATTTTCTGATTTAATAATAATCCTTGTACTCAATGTGAAATTTTTCCATTTTTGGTTTTTTCCTATTTGATTTGCATTTTTTTTAGCTTTAGTATTTAATATTTAATAATAAAAATTTTACAAATTTTTCAATTTTTCGATTCTTTAATTTTTATTATTTTTTTTATTTTTAATCCGCAATTTTTCCTTTCGATTTTTTATTTTCTCTATTTTTTTATAATTTTTTGTTTTTCCATTTCAATTTTTCGTTTCTTCAATTTTTCGATTTGCCATTTTTCAATTTTTCATTATTAATTTCTTAATTTTATGATTTTCCAACTTTTGGATTTTTATTTTAGATATTGCAATTTTTTGATTTGCGATTTCATGGGTTTTGTATTCTTAATTTTTAAATTTTTCGATTTTTTTTGTTTTTTCTTTCTTCATTTTTTTAATTTTCCCGATTCTCAATCTTTTGATTTTATAATTTTTCTTTTTTAAATATGAAATTTTTCAATTCTTGAAATTTTTTTTTATTTGAAATTTTTTGGATTTTCAGTTTTTTGATAATTCAACGTTCAGATTTTAAAACTTTTCGTGTTCTCGATTTTTGATTTTTCAATTTTTTGAATATTCAGTGACAGTTTTTCGACTTTACAATTTTTGGATTTTCCAATTTTTCGCTTTCGCGGTTTTTCTTCTTTCCAATTTTTCGATTTATTAATTTTTCAAGTTTAAGTTTCTTATTGTTTCAATTTTTCATTTCTTCAGATTTTCGGTTTGCAATTTTCCAATCTTCACTTCAATTTTGCATTTTTCGTTATTTCAGTTTTTCGATTTTCCAATTTTTTGTTTTTCAATTTTTAATTTTTCAGTTTTTCGATTCTTCGATTTTTCATTTCTTTAAATTTTCGATTTGCAATTTTACGTTTCGGTTTTTATTTTGTCTATTTCGTTTCGAGTTTTCAATGTTCCGATTTTGTAATTTTGTTTTTTCAATTTATCGTTTATTTAATTTTTCAATGACATTTATCCATTTTTGGATTTTTCAATTTTTGGTTCGCAATTTTTCTAGCTTTCCTTTTAATTACCTGATAATAAGGATTTTTTAAATTGTTCACTCTTTGAATTTTGTTGTAGAATTTTTCCATTTTTCAACTATTGGATTTTAAAACTTTTTCATTCATCAGTTGTTTCCCGATTTTTAGTTTTTCTGCGTTTCAATTTTTCGATAATTTTATCAATTTTGCGAATTAAAAAAATGAAAAATTGCAACACTGTAAAACTGAAAAACCAAAAATAAAAAAAAGGATAAAATGAAAACTGTGAAAAACCAAAATTGGAATTCAAAAACTTAAAAAATTAAAAAACGAAAAATTGAAAAATCAACAAAATTGAATAAACACAAATCTTATTTTATAAATTTAAAACAACAAATTTACTATTGTAAACTTTGTAATAATTGGGTAGTCCTAATATACGTACAAAAATTGTCAACAATCGGTGCGATAGTTACGGAGATAATAAAAATCGACACAGACAGACAGACAGACGGACGGACGGACAGGCAGACAGACCGAAACAGGACCTTACCTTTAGGAAGTAATAAAGTCTAAACTGCTTGTGCATCTATATCTGTGTCATGGTTTTCTCCAACAAATACACACAACGATTGTAGGTAGTAACATGATAATTCACTTCGTTTACTATTCATGCAAATAAAAACCCAGTCTAGATAATCAGTAACCTTTACTTACTTTATTGTTTTTAAATATTATCGCTAAAAAAAGAAAACCTTCAAAATAAATCAAAAAGAGGTGACGAGTTATTTAGCTGGCAGCAGTTCCAAGCAACTGACTGAATTTTCAGCTTCCTTTAAAATTTTCAACCACAATGGGAAAACAATTTACTATTCGAAATTCTCTACTGACCGACAACTTCGCCAATTCTCAAACTTTTAGTATCTACAATGTGATTATCATCTCCTTTACGTGTCTATTTTTCCAAACACTAGGAAAAGAATATGTCACAAGAGGAAGGTAATAATAATGAATAAAAATAACAGTGAAAATAAATTTAATTTGTGTTAGAGTAACTTTCGGATTGGATGTAATAAGAACAGGCTTCGTCCACTTCGATAAAGCTGTCTTCGTTTGGTTGTGTTCTTTTGGGTCAGCTTGTGCCTCATTTCTCTTCTTTAAAATATGGTCAAATCTTAGAGAGTTTGTCAAAGGTTGGTGAGTTAAGCTGGGGTCATATTTTAAACTAATACGTTGCTTCAAGAAACCGCCACGATTTTGGACTGCTTTGGATTAATATGTCTGGCTGTGTATTCCTTTTACACTTGCAAGTTAGTCACTGATGCAGTATATTATTTCGATTTCAATATGCCTTGTACTCTTTTTATTAGTCTTGAACAGGTAAGTGCCTCATTAAAAAAGCTGCGCTAAAATATCACTTTTTAGGTAAGGTTTTTAATTAAAGTACATGCTTTCGTGCGAACCAAGACCTCGGAAGGACCCTCTGGTTTGTCTTTTTCTAAATATCTATACTTCCTTTTTGCTCCTACCCTCATCTACAGAGACGCCTACCCTCGAACGAACACCATCAACTGGAAATTTATCATTCAGTGTCTTCTCGAATGCATTGCCAGTTTTTTCGCACTGACTTTCTGCGTCGTGAACTGTTTTCCATCTTCGGAAAGATGGGCACAAAAGTATACTGTATCCGAGATACTGTTCGAGATCGCAGTCGATACGATATTTTCAGCAGTGGCTATGATGGCTATCTTCTTGCTGATTTTCCACTCGGTACAAAATTTGTTTGCCGAGATTCTCCAGTTCGGAGACCGTTTATTCTATTTAGATTGGTGGAACGATTGTAATTTGAACAGTTGGTTGTTAAAATGGAACAAGATCGTACAAGATTGGCTGTATTATTACGTTTATCGCGATTTCAAAGAACACATTTGTGACGATGGCTTTCTGGCAAAATTGACTGTGTTTTTGGTGTCTTTTGCTGTACACGAATGGATTATGTATTGTTGTGTTGGTGGTTTTTTTCCGTTGATGTTTTTTGTTTTTATGACTGTGGTGTTTCCTTTGTCGTTCTACGAATTTCCTAAAACTGTGTTATTTTATGTTCTTTGCTTGTGTTTAGCAGGTTTACTGATCACCGCCGGGTTTATATTTTATACTCTCGAATGGTATGCTCGCTCGCAAAGCCCTTTAACAGACCCAACACTTTTAGACTTAGTTGTTCCTAGATTCATAACATGCGATTGTGTATTAAAATGATAGATAGTTTAGACTGTGGAAGCGAACGAAAAAAACTAAAAGTAGTTAATAAATAATTGCCTTTGCTGATTTTGATTTTTGTTTCTATTCAGTGCCACGAATTTTTGACTAGAGATACACAAAAATTTGTTAACGATAAGGTCATCACTAGGAATTGATTGCTCACCGACATCTTGATCACGACTGGAATGTAAAAAAACTTGTGACTTTTCGTCATTTTGCTAGTTCCTGTTCACGTTGAAGCTTAAGTTTCCTCTTTTGGCTTCCACTGAGATATTTGCGCTCAGACAGTTTATTTAATCAAATAATGAATAAGTTGCATTATTAATATTTAATAAAACGTTATTTGACAATATCAGTCTTATCTTGACAAATACTAGCCCCGCCCACCCACCCTTATTTTCTTAGAAGAGTAGGCCATCTGCCAAAATCAGTCTTATCTTGGCAAGTATGAGACTGATTTTTGCAAATGACCGACTCCCTAAGAAAATAAGGGTGGGTGGGCGGGGCTAGTATTTGTCAAGATAAGACTGATTTTGGCAGATGACCCACTTTTCCAAGAAAATAAAGGGTGGGTGGGCGGGGCTAATACTTGTCAAGATGAGACTGATTTTGGCAGATAACTTAATCTTCTAAGAAAATAAAGGCTGGGTGGATGGGGCTAGTACTTGCTAAAAATAAAAAAATTAAAAATTAAAAAGTGGCAAATTGAAAAAATCGGATAAATGAGAAATTGGAAAATCGTACAACTGTATAATCGGAAAATCAAAAACCGAAATACCAAAAAATTGAAAAAAAAATCTTATAAAATCGAATTCGAAATTTCAGTTTTCATTTTTTTTATTTTTTAGATATTTCAACTTTTGAATATTTCATTTGACAATAATTTGGTTGATAATTGTGCAGTTTTTATTTGCAATCTTTTAATTTTTCAAGTTTTAACTTTACAATTATAGAATTTTTTGATTTTTAATTTTTCAAGTTTCCAAGTAAAAATTTTTCCTTTTCACGATTTGTCATTTTTCGATTTCTTAACTAAAAGAACAAATTTATTCGAACCGAAATTTTGAAAAGCCGAAAAATCCAAAAATTGAAAATTAGAAACAAAATTTTCAGGAGTTTTAATGTTACGGTAAACATGGCAAATCTCTTCCAAAAACCCGGTGACAAAAAATCGAAAATTTAAAAAAATAGCATCTATCCAGTTGCCCAGATCAATCAAAAATCGAAAGACAGATCAAAAAATGGGAAATTTAAAAGGCGAAAAATTCGAAAGTTGAAAAAACGAAAAACTGAAAAATCTAGCATACGCTACGATAAGACTGATTTTGGCAAATGATTTTCTCTCTAAGAAAACAAAGGGCAGGTGGGTGGGGACAGCACTTGCCAAAATCAGTCTTATCTTGGCAAGTATGAGACTGATTTTTGCAAATGATATATCCTCTAGGAAAATAAGGGTGGGTGGGCGGGGTTAGTATTTGTCAATATAAGGCTGATTTTGGCAGATAACCCACTGTTCTAAGAAAATAAAGGGTGGGTGGGCGGGGCTAGTAAAAAATCTAAATCTTATGAAACCAAATTCGAAATTCCAGTTTTCATTTTTTTTTAGTTTTTAGATTTTTCAACTTTTGAATATTTCATTTGATAATTTGTTTCAATTTTGCAGTTTTTAATTCCAATCTTTTGATCTTTCGAGTTTTAAGTTTACAATTTTGGAATTTTTTGATTTTTAATTTTTCAAGTTCTCAAGTTAAAATTTTTCATTTTCACGATTTGTCGTTTTTCGATTTTTTAATTAAAAGAACAAATTTATTCGAACCGAAATTTTGAAAAACCGAAAAATCCAAAAACTCAAAATCAGAAACAAAATTTTAAAATGTTTTAAAGTTACGGTAAACATGGCAAATCGCTGATCAAAATTACTTTTTACTCCCTTCCAAAGATCCGGTGACGAAAAATCAAAAATCGAAAATTAAAAAAAATAAACATATTTTTTCGATATTTTTAAAACTCAAATGATTGAGAAGAGTAGGTCATTTGCCAAAGTGAGTCTTATTTTGGCAAATACTAGCCTGGCCTATGCCCCTTGTATTTTCTCAGAGGATAGGTTATTTGGCAAGTACTAGCAAATTTCGACCTATTTTCGACGACTTTCGAAATTTAACTAAATGCTTTTTCTTGTAGATTTCGGGGCGCAGAAGTCACTAAATTTGTATTTTGCCTCTTTTTTATTACTTTAAACATAGTTAAAGTTTCTTCCTATGAAAACAAAACTACGTATGTTAAGAAAAACAGAGGCAAAATATAAGCCCCGCCCACCCACCCTGTCTCAATTGTTACTAATTTTTCTATTCGTCGTGAACCGGGAGGCGGAGCTTAATTGCCAAACTGATTTCTCTCAAGGAATTAGCATGTAAAACAAGTTCTTAAGTAATTATATTGTTCAAACAAAACTGTATGTATTAGGTGAAAAAGAAAGCTAAAGATTAAGCCCCACCTACACCGTCCCCGATCTTAGTTGTGATTAATTTTTCATTTGTTGCCAGACCGAGGGGCGGGGCAAAATCGCAAAATCCACATAAGAATGCGAGCGCAGCGAGCACGTTCAGGTGTTATTAAAATTTACTCGTCAGCGTCCCTGAGAAGCTAAATTATTAATAAAAAAAATTGTTATTTTCTAGATTTTTTTTCCTAGCATATATAGTTTCCTTCAACATGTTTTTTAGAAACATGTTTCACATAGTAGTTTATTGTAGAGAAATAGGCATTTTGCAGTAAACTCCGCCCTTCGACTCACAACAAATACAAACGTTACCATAATTGAGATGAGGGCGGGTAGGCGGGGTTTGTATTTTCCCTTTTTTACTACATATTTTAAGTTTCTTCTTATGAAAACAAGACTACGTGTATTATTATTTAATCATGTTTTCATCGGCTGTATCCGTGACGGTGGTAGCCGTAGTTGTTGTATGAAGTTCCAGCAGATTTTTTTACACTTTTCAAAATAACTTCATTTTCACCAGTTGAGTTATTTGAAGTGGAAGTAGAAGGTTGAGGTGTAAAAAAACTTGTGACTTTTCGTCATTTTGCTAGTTCCTGTTCACGTTGAAGCTTAAGTTTCCTCTTTTGGCTTCCACTGAGATATTTGCGCTCAGACAGTTTATTTAATCAGATACCTAATGAATAAGTTGTATTATTAATATTTAATAAAACGTTATTTGACAATATCAGTCTTAGAAGAGTAGGCCATCTGCCAAAATCAGTCTTATCTTGGCAAGTATGAGACTGATTTTTGCAAATGACCTACTCTTTAAGAAAATAAGGGTGGGTGGGCGGGGCTAGTATTTGTCAAGATAAGACTGATTTTGGCAGATGACCCACTTTTCTAAGAAAATAAAGGGTGGGTGGGCGGGGCTAATACTTGTCAAGATGAGACTGATTTTGGCAGATAACTTAATCTTCTAAGAAAATAAAGGCTGGGTGGATGGGGCTAGTACTTGCTAAAAATAAAAAAATTAAAAATGAAAAAATGGCAAATTGAAAAATCGGATAAATGAGAAATTGGAAAATTGTACAACTGTATAATCGGAAAATCAAAAACCGAAATACCAAAAAATTGAAAAAAAAAAAATCTTATAAAATCGAATTCGAAATTTCAGTTTTTATTTTTTAGATATTTCAACTTTTGAATATTTCATTTGACAATAATTTGCAACTTTACAATTTTAGAATTTTTTGATTTTTAATTTTTCAAGTTTCCAAGTAAAAATTTTTCCTTTTGACGATTTGTCATTTTTCGATTTCTTAACTAAAAGAACAAATTTATTCGAACCGAAATTTTGAAAAGCCGAAAAATCCAAAAATTGAAAATTAGAAACAAAATTTTCAGAAATTTTAATGTTACGGCAAACATGGCAAATCTCTTCCAAAAACCCGGTGACAAAAAATCGAAAATTTAAAAAAATAGCATCTATACAGTTGCTCAGATCAATCAAAAATCGAAAGACAGATCAAAAAATGGGAAATTTAAAAGGCGAAAAATTCGAAAGTTGCAAAAACGAAAAACTGAAAAATCTAGCATACGCTACGATAAGACTGATTTTGGCAAATGATCTTCTCTCTAAGAAAACAAAGGGCGGGTGAGAGGGGACAGCACTTGCCAAAATCAGTCTTATGTTAGCAAGTATGAGACTGATTTTTGCAAATGATATATCCTCTAGGAAAATAAGGGTGGGTGGGCGGGGTTAATACTTGTCAAGATAAGGCTGATTTTGGCAGATGACCCACTCTTCTAAAAAAAAAAAGGGTGGGTGGGCGGGGCTAGTACTTGTCAAGATAAGGCTGATTTTGACAGATGACAATTCGGAGTCATAAACTACATGTGTAGGACTATGTTATTTTATAAAATTTAAAACCCAGTAACAATGTACTATTTTGAAGTGACGTCATCGTATTACTAGTGGGGATGATTAGACAAATTTTGGTTCGCGTGTTACCATCTACATGATATTCCTAATATAATCGGTCGAGTACTTTCGGAGATTATCTGTCTAAAAAAAATGGACAGACAGACGGAAATGGGAGACCTATTTCTTCGTCTTCTAGGGGTCAAGAAAGATCGAGAAAACGTAAAAGTACAGAGTCGGCCGACGGACTCGATTACAATACTTCCTCTGCTTACGCTCGGGAAGTAAAAAAAACCGTTGGGACCCCCGAGAAGATTTCGCATTAAAAATTAGTACATTTGGTGTTCGAGAGAAGGTTTTACATCTTTAAAAAAGACAGTTGGGACCTCCGACAAGGTTTTACATTAAAAAATAGGGTATTTGTCGCCGCTGAGAAGGTTTTACATTAAAAAACAGACATTTGGGATACGCGAGAAGGTTTAACATGCTTAAAAAAAGCCATTAGGCGCCCCCGAGGAGGTTTTATATTAAACAAAAGATATCTGGGCCCTCGAGAAGGTTTCACATTTTTTAACAAGATAGTTGGGACCCCCGAGAAGGTTTCACATTCTTAATTAGATGTTTGGGACACCCGAGAAGGTTTCACATTAAAAAATTGGACATTTTGCGCTCCCAGAAGGTTTTACATAAAAAAAAAAACAG